TAGTTATATGTGTTAAAAAACAAAATTCAACCCAGTAAATATGAAGATCTAATTGGCTTTATTAAATGACTCATGAATTGGAAAGCATCTCATCTACCAAGCAGAGGGCAGCTCTGAACAAAATGGAAGGCTTTTATAGGAACGAGGGTGGGGCAAGAAAATTACAAGCAAAAGAAAAGATTGTTTCAGGAGGTATCACCTTCCCGGAGGGGGAGGGGGAGGGGTCTTATTATACAGATTACCTCATGGTCCTTTGGGAGATAGAGGAGGTCCAAGAGACAGCTTATCTCCTTGGTGGTGGTCATAAAATTCCTGACTGACGGGTTAAGACTTAACATTTCTGAGGGAGGTTGAAATTACAATTAGATTAGGTATTAAATCCTGGTCTACTGACTTGGCGACTTAACTCAAGAGAGGTTATTTTGGGCCTGCAGTTTTCCTTTTAACCTATGGAAATGTGTCCAACAAATTATTAAGTGAAAAAAAAAAACAGGTCTCAAAACTGAATGTGCATTATGGCTACTTGCTGTAAATTTTAAGGAATAAAATTAAATATATGTATACACATATTTGATAGATATATATACATCTAACACACACATACAATACGCATAGAAAAGGACTGGATATTTATACACAGCAAAATGTTAACATTTGGTGATTATTTTGTTTTCTTTTTTTTCTGATTTATCTAAATTTTCTAAATCTTTCAAATGAATATTTGTCACTTATTAAAGTTTTCTTTTGGTTGCCTGGGTGGCTCAGTCGGTTAAGTGTCTGCCTTTGGCTCGGGTCATGATCCCAGGATCTTGGGATCAAGTCCCACATCCCACATCAGGCTCCCTGCTCAGTGGGGAGCCTGCTTCTCCCTCTGCCCCTCCCCTGGCCTGTACGCTCTCTCTCTCTCTCAAGTAAATAAATAAAATCTTTCAAAAAAATAAAGCTTTTTAAATTTATTTATTTAGAGAGCACACGTAGGGGTAGGCCTGATGCAGGGCGGATCTCATGAACCTGAGATCATGACCTGACCTGAAATCAACAGCCATAGGTTTAACCAACTGAGCCACCCACATGCCCCAAATATTTGTCACTTATATGAAAAAGAACAGTAAACATTTTATATGTATATATGATTATTAAAAAGTCATTGGGTAGGGGCACCTGAGTGGCTCAGTCGTTAAGCGTCTGCCTTCGGCTCAGGTCATGATCCCAGGGTCCTGGGATCAAGCCCCGCATCGGGCTCCCTGCTCAGCGGGAAGCCTGCTTCTCCCTCTCCCACTTCCCCTGCTTGTGTTCCCTCTCTTGCTGTGTCTCTCTCAAATAAATAAATAAAATCTTTAAAAAAAAAAAGTAAGAAATGTTCACAGAATGTCTCAAATGTGGTTGAAGTAGCTATCGTAGGTAGCTATCACAGACAGGTACTTCATAGGTATCATAAGTGCAGCAACCCACTTTTACAAAACCTCATGAACAATTCCGAGGGGGAAAAGAAGAACTGAGACAAGAAAGGGACACAGAAATTGCTGTCATTATCAAGGACTGGAAAAGAGACTAAATGGGTTATCACTCTGATCCAACAGGACATTTCTGATGGTCTTCTTTTCAATTACTCCACTAACTCACTTATCTGATACTGATTGTGCACAAGGCAGTATAACAATTGAACAACACCTAAGACAGTGTTTGACAGCTTCTAAGACATTCCATTTTTTCTATTTATTTGTACTAAACAACTCGGAGATGGGCAGACCACCATTGTTTTCATTTTCCTCCTTACAGCATCTGTCTGTAATTGTTGTGCTTGTCTTTATCATTTTACTCAAAATGCACTCTGGTTACCATTGATCTTTCCTTGGGTAAATACTGTGGCTTTACAAAAATGTTTTCAATTCATCTTGACCTCTCTATGAACATAGAAGTGATCACTAGGGCATGACTGTCCCAATTTTCATTCTACTCCTTTTTCTAATTCCTTTGGTTAGAGGTTGGGGTTCTAGTCCTTTTTTTGCCACTAAGGCTGGTGTGATCTTGGACAAGCCTCTTGTGTCCTACAACTGATATGTGTGAAGCCACTCTGTACATTGCAAAGCATTTAAAAATATGATTATTGAAGTAGATGATCTCTAAATTTCCCTCAAGGTCTAAAATTTTTAGTTTATATTTTTGGTTATATTTTTAGTGAATTCATGTGATCCAAGAATTGCATTTTGGCACATTTTAGAAGTCTCCTTCCATTACACCAAAGCTGCTGCTGATTCAATAAGTACAGAATGATTTAATAGTAGCACCAAAAACAGTTAATTCTTCAGTTGCTGAGGTTGAAAATTACCAGAAATGATGCATGATTTTAAGGAAAAGACTGAGTCATAGTCAACACCTAAAAACTTTATTTTCTATGTTAACCACCCCCTAACTTTTGCCCTTCTAAAATCTGACAAATTTAAATCTTTTTTTTTGACAAATTTAAATCTTAAGATGGAAGCAACTGAAATCATATGGTATGCTCTCACATGGCACTTTTTTAAAAAAGATTTTTATTTATTTATTTGACAGGGAGAGACACAGCGAGAGAGAGAACATAAGCAGGGGGAGTGGGAGAGGGAGAAGCAGCCTTTTCACGGAGCAGAGAGCCTGATGCGGGGCTCGATCCCAGGACCCTGGGATCATGACCTGAGCTGAAGGCAGATGCTTAACATCTGAGCCACCCAGGCGCCCCCTCATACAGCGTTTTGGGGCATTTTGCTGGATATTGTCAGTGTTGGAATAGTGACTACAACAGGCAGGAAATAAATGAGGAGGTTCATCACATATACACATAAAATCATTGTCAAATGTCAGAGTTGGAAGGACTTCTAAAACTCATTTAGACTGGTGGGTCCTGGAGTGTTTGATTTCAAAAGCTTATAAAAGTTCAAAATAAACAGCAACAACAAGAGGAGGGCAAACGTAAAAATGTGTTTTTAACTTTGACAAATAAGGATACCAACAAAAGAACAAAACAACCATCTTCCATCAGCACCATTTTATAAAAAAGGTCACTTTAATGACATGTGTAGGACGATAAAATCTCAGAATATAGTACAATTTGAAATTAAATAAATGAAGGGGCACCGGGGTGGCTCAGTTGTTAACCGTCTGCCTTCAGCTCAGGCCATGATCCTAGGGTCCTGGGATCGAGCCCCACACTGAGCTCCCTGCTCATCTAGGAGCCTGCTTCTCCCTCTCTCTCTGCCTCTCCCTCTGCCCCTCCCTCTGCTTGTGCTCTCTGTCAAATAAATAAATAAAATCTCAAAAAAAAGAGAAATTAATGAAGAAAAATGCATTATACTGCTCTTATTTTTCTAAAATCTTTATGGAAAACTGTTAGACTTGCCCCTGTCCATACACAGACCTTTGGGAATCCCTAATCTAGTCCATTCCATGCACACCTTTACCCCCCCATCCCATCTCCCACAGTGCAGCAATTGTATCCTCACCACACCAAAAAATCCCTTTAAATGTATACCCCACCCACTGTGGGGAACTCCTCAAGCTCTGGAATCCATTAAATTTTGGAGTCTGTGGTAGAAAATCAGCAGAAGAGCTGCTGTCTCTGGGAACTTCAAGATGCTTACACTTGGCTTTTTTTTTTTAAGACCAGAATCTAACTGCAGAGAATTTTAAGTAGGCCAAACGTGCCTTAGAGTCACTAAACGAAAACGTCTAATAGTGCTGATTTGGGAGTCAGGCAGCCTGGGTTTTGATGGTGCATCAAAACTCCATTCTAAACCTTAGGGATCTGTTTTCACATTCAACACATCTGGATTAGAGCTTTATGAATAGAAGTATTTAAGTCGGAATTAGAGTAACATGGAGGAATTTTAGTTAAGATTATCTTTCGGGCTGAATTCCATTACTAATTACTTGATCAGCTTTCAAAGTTGTAGTTAAGTCTACATTTTTTTCCATTTCCATTTTAATGAAATTATTTTGAGAGATTCCGTTTAAATTTTTACAACCGAGGTTTGATTCATACTACAGATGATAGCATCAACTACAGAGCTTTCTTTTGTCATCACTACTACCAAGCCGTTTCCTCAGGTCAAGTTTTGTCAACTAAAATGTGGCCAAGATTTGATTTTTTAAATCAATTTTTAGTAAAAAAAAAAATTACTGTATAAAAGGTTTACAACAACTTTAACGTTTACTTCTTTAAACGTTATCGATTTATTTTGTAATAGTTATTTCCATCCTGTGTTTTTTGGGTCAGTACTGCAGTTTTCAACATGACCAAGACATGATTACGGAGGGTTTTTTGCGGGGGGTGGGGTGGGTGGAATAAATAACCTCTACGGTGCAGTTTTTTCAGGGTTGTAAATTCTATTCTCTGTTGACTCATCCGCCAATAAAATTATGAATCGGGTATTAGGGTTTTTTCCCCCTGGGGACCAAATGTATCAGTGGAGCAACAACACAAAGGCATAAGATAATCCTGCTTTCCCTCTTTTCCCTTCCCGTAAAACGAGATTCTCCAACACTCCCTAGAGCGCAGAATCCTAATTCTTAAGCCTTCATCAGTTACACTCTGCTAAAACCCGGAGCCCTGACCAAACCCAGCCCGGCCAGGGCTGCTTTTCTCTTCCTCTCCACCAGAGGCGACAGCCTCTCGCAAAACAGAATTGGGCTGGAACAGGCCGGTCTGAGGGAGTGGCCCAGGGAAAGATCAAAGGTTAAAAATCGCCTCAAAGAGCAAAGGTCAAAACTCCCAAGGAAGCCAGAAGTTCCCATCCTCCACGAAGAATGAAGGTGACTCCGCCCTAACATGCTCTCGGGGCCCGATGTCGCGCGGCCTTTCAGAGACCAGGCGGGTCCGACGTGACTAACAGGTAGCTTGATCCGAACAGCGAACAACCGGAAATAGAAGTGAGCCCCCGGCGGGGGTGAGGAGAGGCCACCGCACGCCTGCGCAATCAGCAGGGTTACAGTACGCATGCGTATTTGGGCGATGACGGGGTGACGCTCGGAGCGTGGGCCGCGACTCTCACGGATCCGGTTCCGCCCTCCCTCTCGTTGCCGACCCTCCGGGGCTAGCGCCCGAGATCCCTTTCCCAGAGTGCTCTGCGCCGTGAAGAAGCGGCTCCCGGGGACTGGGGGCATTTTGTGTTGGCTGGTCCCGGAGTAACAAGATGGCGGCGTCGGCGGAGTGACAGGGGTCCCTCTGGGCGGGAGCCGGCGGCAGTGGTGGCAGCGGTATCGCCGCCCTAAACCACCGCGCCCCTTTTCCAGTCCGCGACGTCGCCGTGAAAGCGAGCCAGCGGCGGCCGCCCCAAAACAAGTGGCCCAGCCTCGTAACCGAGGGAACCCACTCACAAACTGCGGCCTGGCGAAAAGAAGCCTGATTGAGCGGCGGTGATCAGGTTCCCTTCGGCCGATTCTGGGCCCTGTAACGCCTTGAAAGAGCCACCGTTTTTCGTTTCCTGCCGCCCCCCTCCGCAGCCTTGTTCCGCGGACGAGCCCCTGAGGCCTCAGTCCTCCCCTCAGAGGTGTCGGGGCTTGGCCCCAGCCTCCATCTTCATCTCTCAGGATGGCGAGCAGCAGTGGCTCCAAGGCCGAATTCATTGTCGGAGGAAAATATAAACTGGTACGGAAGATCGGGTCTGGCTCCTTCGGGGACATTTATTTGGCGATCAACATTACCAACGGCGAGGTAATCACCCGGGGTGGGGTTCACGACCACGCTGCGCCAGTCCTCACCCCCTGCCCCAATCCCCAAAGTGCTGGGGCTTTTCCCTATCACAGGGAGGGAGCCAGTTTTCCTGGCTTTAGGAGCCTCCCCCGCTCTCTTTCCCTAAAAGGCAAAGAACCCGATAGAAGGGTTGGGAGAACCTATGAAGTTTCCCAGCTTGTTAAAAATGTACCTTAATCGAACTTTTTAAGCTGTCGTTTTAAGGCGAGATCGGCAAAATCGTATTTCTCTAATCCCCGTGTTTTCCCCACTATATGGATTTATTCTACTGGGGTTCTTGCTTTCGATCGTCAGTTTCCTTCAAAATCTCTCATTACGTTTTCTGGATGAATCATTTTCCTGCACCTTCGAGGACGTGCCGATTTCGTCATTACCCCCTGAAGAGGCCTTTGAGGCTGGTTGCCTCGTTTTATAATTACAAAGAGAGCTTTCTCTTCTGAGCCTCTCACTTCACCTTCTAGTCTCGAGTTGGAGCTTTGCTAATGTCTCCCCTCCTCTCCCCAGTGACATTGAATTCTTAGGGATGTTGATGCCATCATCCCCTCTCTCCCCTGCAGGAAGTGGCAGTGAAGCTAGAATCTCAGAAGGCCAGGCATCCCCAGTTGCTGTACGAGAGCAAACTCTATAAGATTCTTCAAGGTGGGGTGGGCATCCCCCACATACGGTAAGACCCCGTGAGCAAACAGGCGGTGCGCCGAGGGAAGTACGGCATGAGGGAAACGGGTAGAGGAAGGCAGTAGCACCGGCTGATTGGGGCCTTGGTATCTGAGTTACCTGGGTGTACTATAGCCGGTGGTTTCCTGAGAACCGTAAGACACCACAGTCACTGAGTAAATTTTTAGTTTGCCAACTTCGCTTAGAATTTCGGTTGGTTACACTGCTCCATTTAGCTTCCCTCATTCTTCTCTCGAGGCTTTCATTTGCAGTTAAGTTAGGCGAGTCATCTTTGATCCCTACGCGGCTTGTCTGCTGCTTTCTTTACGCCGACACCTCTGACGTTCTTAGGTTTATCCAGTGAAGTGGATTTGAAGGTGCCAAGTGACCGCGTTCGGCCAGTTCGGGTTGCTATTGGAGTTGGCTTGGGAAATGGCTGCTCTTTTGTTGTGTTTTTGTTCCAACATGTCTTCCTCCTCCGCTTAGAAAATGGCGGAACGACGTGACTCAACCGCATATTCCTGCCCTTTCCTAGGCTTGGGTTCACAAGTTACTCTTCCTTGCTTCCCCCTTTAGCAGCTCTGAGTGGATTAAACCTTTGAAAAGCCAAGAATAAAGGTGCGGGCGGCGGTGGGGTTCAAGGAAGGAGATGGCATAATGACAGTCTGTCTGTGATCCCTGCAGCAGATGCGACATGAAATGAAATTATACTATGCAAAATCCCTCACAGTCCCTTTGTAAGTGTTAATTATTCTTTCATGAAGGGTAATGTTGGCTACATTTCAGCTTGTGTACTAAATTTTGTAATGGCAAAGGCAGTCTGACCACTACTGTGTTGAAACTGACTCAAATCAGTTGTATTAAAAAGAAAGATTAATCTCGTAACCACAGTGTGATGAGTAACTTTAACCTGTTGAGTTACTTGATCGGTAACTCCTCACATCAGGGAAATTGTGGCCTTTTGGGGGGATGGGATATTGGTGAAGGCAAACAGCAATAGTAATCAGGATAAAAGATGACCACATAAAGACACTGGATATTTTAAATGGTTAACTTTAAAGGTTGTGTTTGACTTTGAGATTAAAAAGCATCTTTCTGGAGTAGAGGCTAAAATGTAGTGTAAAGTCAAGCCATTTTTCAACACTTAAAAATAACATTTGTAAAAAAACCAGAGACAGTTAAGAATTAAGTGGAGTGATAGTTAACGTAATTTCTTTTTCTATTCCAGTTTATATTCCTTAAATCTTGAATTAATTGCATACATTAATTCAGCTGTGGAAGCAACCCAAGTAATACTATCCTTAAAAAATCTCCAGTGCTGATAGATGTTTTTAACGGAGAAGTTGAATGATAAAATATTCTCTTGGTTGTGAGAGATAAATTATTTAGAAGAAACTTCCAGGTTTATTTTGTAAGGTAGATTAATGTGAAATCCAAGATGATGGGAGATTTTAAATGATTCCTATCCGCCCCCCCCCCCCCCCCAAAAACTGCCTGCTGGGAAAATGAATGTTACTCTGGAAGAATGAAAAAAATTTTTTTTAAAGAATGAAAGTCTTTATTAAAATGTCTAGCTTTTTATTTCCTCAAAATAAAAAGTCCATTGCATTAGCCAAAAAATTTAAAACGGCTTTCCTTTTGCCTTTAAACATATCTCTCCACCCCTGGCCCCCCCGATTTGCTTTCTGTACTGTAGTTTTTCTTAGAATTACACATAAAATGCAATCATACAGTATGAGGTCATTTGTGTCTGACTTCTCTCACTTACCGTAATGCTTTTGAGATTCATCCATGTTGGGAGGTTTTAGAAATTTCACAAATTATGTTGAATTTAATGTATTAGAAATAATTTTCAAAAAGCATTAAGCATCTGGCATTTTCATTGCTAAACCCTTTTATCTGGTAGCTTTTATTTAAAGGCAGTGCTGATAACAGACCAACAAGAGCCATAGGTAATATACTGAGTAAGCACATGAATAAATGAAATTAACTTGTGAGCCCGGAATAACAGGCATCTATTATAAGATGTTGAGTGCAGAGAGTTGTAGTTATTAACTGGGTGGAGCTAAAGAGAGATTAACCTGGCTTTCAAATTAACGCTTCCTGGGAGAAGAGATGGGATTTCAGGATCCGGATGTAAGGAAGAAAGCTTGGTTGAACTGGTTGGGGAGGGCATCCAAGAATACAGTGTGGCTTCTGGGAGTAGTCTCTAATCAGAAGGTAGTAATTGGATGAGGGTGGGGAAAGAGTAAATTTGTTTTAGGAGTGGTGGAGTCTGGTACATAGAAACAGTAGTGGTTCATTGGTTGTAAAGTGTGAGAGAACTGTTTTTCTACTGAAGTGAAAAGGGTAGAAAGACTTTACATAAGCATTCTTTGGGTGGCAACGTCTTCCCATCCCCTCAGTTTGTTCCCCACTATTTCCACATCACCTATATATAGCATACAGGTAAATATTTGGTAAATATTGATGAACTATTTTGACTTTAGTTTATTGAGATTTAATGAAGCAGTCTATGTGTTATCCATTGTCTTAGATGGATGTAAATATATTTAGATTTGGGATGCCTGGCTGGCTCAGTTGGTAGAGCATGCAGCTCTTGATCTTGGGGTCATGAGTTCAAGCCCCATGTTGGGTGAAGAGATTACTTTTAAAAAACAATTTGGATTTTGCTGTAATTACACTTAATTCCATCTTCTCCCCTGCACTCCAAACCCCTTGAATTTACTAAGATACTTTCGGATATCCTAAAACAAGGGCTGAAAATGATCTAGCCCACATAGCCGACCTGACTCATTTTTACTTGGTAAGGGATCTGTTGTTAATGCAGAAGCATGGCATTCAGGGTAAAGAGCGGAATGAGGGTGGCGTTTAGTCTCCATGTTTTTAAGAAACTAGGGTCATTCTTTAGTTAAGAAACTGAAATCGTTAATTGACTTCTGGAAGCTCATTAAAAATTATTTCTGTTACAATCTTCTTTATCTTTGTGGTACTCAATTTGAATCGAAATAACGTGATCTCTAAAGAAGCACTTATGATACCAAGCTCTAGGTCTATCATGTGGTATTGACAATGATCTTGGGTCAGTCAGTCCTTTAACCTCTTTGGGTCTATCAGTTAGTTTGCTCATCTGTGAAATGCAAAGAGGATTTTACCATGTTAGTAATTTTCTAATTCTTTTGGAATAGGAAAGAAGAATACTGGACAGAAAAGTTTAGGGTTTCCTACTCTTCTAGAAAAAGTTTTGCATACTGAGCTTTCAGGTAGGGTTTTATTTGAACAGAGTTCCCTGCTTAAATAAGTCACCTGCCTCATTTGATCTTAGAACTTGTAGCTCTGAAATTTTGAAACTTCTTTTTGGATGATGGTAGCTAGAAAGCATTTCATCACAGTTTGATGTTAGGTCTAGATCTTACCTGACTCTTAGTACAGAGACCCCTCTCAAGACTCTTAAAAATGCCATCTGCCTCAGATAAACTGTCAGTTACCATTTAAAAGGAAGTAAATTAATGGAATATATTTTTATAGGGAAATGAATAGAGAAGATGGGAGGGGCATGGGAGAATTGTTGCCTTGTTTTCAACCACTTTTTTGCCCTCTCTGAATGGCAAGTATTACAGAAGATATTTATAAAGTACTAGTTAATCCTTACTCTTCAGTGTTAAAAGCAGCTTAAATTTTAATCTTAGCTTTTTGGCACTGAGCATATGTCTTGCAAATAAGTTCTAATGCTGTTATCAGAGAACAAAGATGACATCTGCACTGGATACGTCTTTATTACAGATTACTGGGTGCATGAGAAACGTGATTTTTAACTCGTAGAAACAATCTCTCTATATATACTACTATATATACATACGTATTATATGCATACAGAGTATACTAAAGGTGCTTTATATCGGTTTATAATGGATTTCTAGTTGCGGAATGATGTAATGATGCTTAAGTAGCATTTGTGAGCTAAATGAAACCTGAATACAGCCTAATATCTCACAAATTAGATTACTGAGTCTCTGAAGGGTTACTAGAGTCTCCTAACTCCTAATTTTTCTGAGCCATTTTCACCTTTATGTCAAGGTCATTATGCCTGCTCACAAACCCCACACCTTTTCATTTGATGCTACAGAGCCATACTGTGCCTCCTTCACTTTATTGCATTTGGCCTCATTCAGAGAAAGTGAAAACCTCTTCTATAAATGTAAGTTAACTTTATTTGACAGAGAGAGAGCAAGAGCAGGAGCACAAGCAGGAGCACAAGCAGGGGGAGTGGGAGAGGGAGAGCAGGCTTCCTGCAGAGCAGGGAGCCGGATGAAGGGCTCGATCCCAGGACTCTGGGATCGTGACCTGAGCCGAAGGCAGACGCTTAACAACTGAGCCACCCAGGTGCCCCATAAGTAACTTATTGTTTGTGTTATTATTTAACTAGATGCTTATAAATTTTTTTTTTTTTTTTTTAAGATTTTACTTGTTTATTTTGACAGGGAGAGACACAGCGAGAGAGGGAACACAAGCAGGGGGAGTAGGAGAAGGAGAAGCAGGCTTCCCATTGAGCAGGGAGCCTGATGTGGGGTTCGATCCCAGGACCCTGGGATCATGACCTGAGCCGAAGGCAGAGGCTTAATGACTGAGCCACCCAGGCGCCCCTAAAAAGATCCATTTACTTTAGAGAGAGAGCAGGGGGGGCAGAGGGAGAGGGAGAGAATGAGAATCCCAGTTAGACTCCCTGTTGAGCGGGAAGCCTAATGTGAGGCTCAGTCTCACAACCCCAAAGCCATGACCCGAGCTGAAACAAAGAGTCGGACACCTAACTGACTGAGCCACCCAGGTGCCACCCCTTAATAGTTTTCAAAATATAAGTGAATACCTAGTTAAAATGATGTTGTTTTTTTTTTTTTTTTTTTAAGATTTTATTTATTTATTTGACAGAGAGCGAGAGCAGAAATACAAGCAGGGGGAACGGGAGAGGTAGAAGCAGGCTTCCCACCAAGCAGGGAGCCCGATGCGGGGCTC